TCTATATATATATATATATATATATATATATATATATATATATATATTTGTTTGGGTTTGTGTAAAACTAAATTTTACAAAATAATATGTATGTTTTACAAAACAATACTTAATTTCTATATGCAATGCATTCTGATATTTTCTATTCTATTCCAATTTACAAAAAATCCTGAGAGAAACCCTCTGAATTAATTTTAAAACCTGTCAGGAGAATATGACCCACAGTTTGGAAAACATTGGTGGAGCCAGGTGGTAGGCACACAGAGGTGGAAAATGAGAGTATGGGGTGGTATGAGTCCAGGGAAATCTGTCTTGCAAAAGATTATACTTGATCTGTTCCTTGAAAGGTGCATCCTGTTTAGATTATTGGGGTCCAAGACAGTGTTAATGCTGAGTTGCGACAACAGTACGAGCAAAGAAGTCACTGAAGTGGAGTCAGCAACCAGTACAGGGGTCACTGAGAGCAGAATTCTGATCTTTTATGTGACTGCTTTTGTATATTATGGAAATAATGTAAAAGTCAAACTAAAGGCCTGAACAGAGATTTCGAGGGTACATATTTGAGAAAAAATTACTGTTGATAATTGGGAATGATCTAATAGGAGAGCAGATCTATGGCATTTAATAATCCATATTATTATTTATATTAGTATTCCATTTTTGTCAAAGTTCTTTGTAATCACAATTATCATTATTCCTCAAAGTAAAACTGTGGGCAAAGGAGAAGCTATTTCCAGAGGAAGAAACTGGTGCAAAGAGGTAATATACATTGTTCAAGGTATATTTACTTAAAGTGATGTTAGCAGATCAAGCTAACTCTGGTCCAGATGAGTTAGTTCACTCTGACAGTCCAGAAGACAGGGACAAATTTCAAACAAAAAAACCAAACAGAACAAGAACATTGGAACAATGACCACCTATTCTCATCCAGCCCTGAAGATTAACTTGTTCCTTTTCTCCAGGGTGTAAATTGTTTACTTTCGGTGACCTTAATTTGTTGCTGTGTTTTATTGAATTTTGCAAAGACCTGGGTGATGGAGCGAGTGATGATGTTTGGAGAAAGGAAACCTTGGGTAGAGGTACGATTTTTCTGAAGTTTATTTCAGAGCACATGAGTTGATCAGGAAAATTAAAGAAAGAGAAGCCAAGTGTGGCTCTACAGAGCTCAGTGGCTTCCTCAGTTTTCCTAGAGTTCTTCCCCCGGAAGCATCTGAGGGGAGGGCCTTGTGTCATCTCTTCCATCTTGTGCTTTGTAGCCTGGTTCTCTCTTTCTTTTCTTTCTTTCCTTCCTCCGTCCCTCCGTCCCTCCTCCCTCTCTTTCTCCTTCAGAAATGGTGGGGAAAAGGGAAAGATAAAAGGGCTAGAACAGTAGGATTCCTGTGAAATTCCGCATGTTGTATGCAAAGTAGAAAACGGAATCCTTTAACTGTACCTAAGTTTTGTTTTTAACATCTTGAATTTAGTACATTTTCTTTGTTGTTGCAATAAAATCAGAACTATTGCCTGTGTGTCAAATTTGACTAAGGCTAAAAATAGACTAGCAAGGTTGGGCATGGAAGAAATGGCCCGCTTCTCCTTCCTCCTTTTCATTTTGTTTCAGTTTGAATGAGAAGGAGGTGGCTCACACAATGAACAAGAACAGCAACTGGCTGGGTGTCTGTGTGCTTTGAGCCAATTATGATATTTTTGTGGGAAAGTTTCCAATTCTGAAGTCTCAGTTATGTAGAGGTGGGAGGCAGCTGGTGGGAATGTCTGTCTGCAGGGTACATGCACGATTACTCTGATTCAATATGGCATGACAGCAACGCGCTTATTCAAGAAAAGAATTATCTCAGTTTTCCTGTACTTTAAAGCTTCTTCATCCTCACCATTAAAGAAAAAACCAAAACTCAAAACACTTAAAGAAAAAAAAAGTCAAAGCCAAAGTTACCAAAATATTTTGAGATCTTTCAGCCATGTCCAGTGAGGGATATCAGTAATGTAATTAATCTAAGTCCAGTGGCCCACATTAACTCACTACATTCCTCCACAGCACCAATACCCTCCCCTTGAAGTCTTCCTTTCATTAACTACCATCATTCTTTCCTCCAGTATTCGGAATTTCTTAACTCTCTCCTTCATCCCTCACGTCCAAGTGGCCACCAAATCCTGCTGCATCTACCTTCAAAGCATTTGTCCATTGAGTTATTCATGTATGTGTCATGCATTCATTAAATACCTACTGTGAACCATGCACCGCATTAGGTACCATGGATACAGTGACGACTAAGACAGACAGCTTCTGCCATCACAGATCTTATAGTCTAGTGGGGGCCCAGACAAGAGACAAGTAAATAGGCAATTTCAATACTGTGTGTGCAAGCTCTTGTGGTGGGCAAGGTACAGGGAGCACATGAGGATGAATCTAACTTTGGAGTATCAGAGAAGGCTTCCTAGAGAATTGATGATTTAGCTGAGACTTTAAGGTTCAGAAAAATATATCCAGAAGAAGAATGCTTTAGGCATCCTCCATTCAACAAAATTTTATTCAACACTAACTGTGGGTCAGGCTTTATGCTAGACTCTGCAGAATTAGTTAGAAAGATAGACAATCCAGGCTCTTCTAGTGCTTAGGGGAGTTGGGGTGGGAGAGAAATAGACATGAAAGTATAGGCACAAAATATCTATTATAACTATGAGGTGGCCCTCTATAAAGAGTCACTTTCCTCAAACAAAATTAGGGAAGTAAAAGATTCATCACTTCCCTACTGAAAAGTCCAACCACCAATTGCTCCTGAGTATCCAGTGCTCTTTCCTGTAGCTCCAGGCTCTGGAACAGACTCTGCTATAAATGCCCAGAGTTCCCAGTCAGAGTCTCCCCATTAGGTGGGCACAGGGCGGGTACCTCCCTGTCTACCTCTTTAGGCTTCAGAACACAGCCTAAGATTCTTTACTGGAGAGCTGGGTTAATTAAAGAAGATCACACTATATAGGAAGGGAGAACTGTAAATTGTCAGCTAACATAGTTTTCGCTCCATAGTTTATGGGGAGAGTACTTAATTTATGCACTCAACAAATATATGCTAGGTGTCTGCTGGGGTGCCCAAGACACATAATATCTCCTACCTATGGAGCTTTCATTTGAGAAGCAGATAGACAGGAAATAAGTAAACTTATACTTTGACAACATAATTAGAGATGGATGAGGTGATACTTCTGAGCTCTTCTGGGGAGGTGTGTCAGTTATATCATCATGAAGGAAGTGATGTGTTTGAGCTGAGACCGGAGGGTTGGGAAAGAGCTGGTTTTCCATAAAGCAGAAAAAGAGCTTCAGAAAAAGAGACCATGTGAAACTTTTCCCAGGGTCCCCTGCCCCTCAAGTCACTACCTTATCACAGGTGTCACCTTCTAATCTCCACCTGCTCACAACAGTGGCCACCTATCTTTCAGGACAACTCAGTCCTATCCAAGGGGATTGGGTTTCCCCTCCAGGCACTACCTGCTTCTTGGTCCCAGGCGATGTTCAGTAACATCCGTGAATGGTGGGTCCTGTTTGAGTGAGCGGTTTCACCACTAGGCTGTGACGGCCTTCCATTCACGGACTCTGCTGTGCTTTCCCATTGTCTAGGAACTCAACTCTATTTCTTTAATTTCTGAATCTACGATTGTTTCTGAATGGCAAAGCCTTTCGATGGATGATTAATTAGAAAACCTCTGCTTTCCATTCCTGTTCTGGTCGCCCGCCTATTTTTCCCAGGCCATATTGTTCTAAGCCTCAGTTGCATGAAGGTCAGGAGGCCCCCGACTAACTCCAGATGCCATTGAATTGGCGTTCGGGGCCATTTCAGGAAGGTCGGTCCGCAGGCGCCGGGGTGCGGCAGGGCCCCGGGAGTGAGGGCGCCCCGATGACGTCACTCCAAGGTGGCCGGCTCAGCGCGGGGCGTGACGCCACGCGGGCGGGCCGGGCTACCGTGAGGTCACCTGGTGGGCGCGGCCAGGCCGAATCCCCAGTGTCGTCACGGGAGGGGGCGTGGCCAGAGCGTGTCAGCGAAGCCGAATCAAAACAAGCCCGAGACCCGCCTTTTCCCTCCGGCTCGGGAGCGTCTAGCTTGCGCCCCGAGCCCGCGGCGCCCGCGCGGCTGCGAGCCTCGGGTGGCCGCGCGCCGGCTCCAGGAAGCCGGGGAGGGCGCGGCGGCCGGGATGGCGCGGCGCGGGCCGCGCGGCTAGACGGGCGCCAGAGGAGCCGCCGGCCCGC